GTGTGTGTGTGTGTGTGTGTGTGTGTGTGCCTGTGTGTGCGCTGGGCCTCTGTACCGATTTTTCATTTCGAGACCTACAAAAGCTACAGGGCTGAAACTTTGGGAGATTAATCTACATGCAACTTCGGCCCTCCAGCCCCAAAATGGGCGGTCTTACCCGCGTGGTACCCACGTACGGGCCCGCCAAATTTTTCTTCGGGTAAGTTGCTAACTCGAGAACCTGAAAAGCTAGAAGACTGTAATTTTAACGGAATGTTCCGCGCCCAAGTAGGTATTGATGAGTCCAAACCCAGCCATCGAATGCGCGTGGTACCCACGTATAGGCCCGTGAAAGTCTTTTTCCAGTAAGTTGCTAACTCAGGAGCCAGGAAGGCTAGAAACCAGAAATTTTAAGGGGATGTTCCCCGACATTTCTGGCGGCCAGTCTTAATTTGTTTAGCTAGAAGCGTTTGTCGAAAAAACCGGTGCCGTAGCGTAATGGCCTGCCAAAAATTTTCTGGCAAAAGTCCAGACTCGGGGATCTGAGAAGCTAGAACGCTGAAATCATTGTATAATGTTCCCTGTCCAAGAAGATGTTAATGCACTGGAGCCCGTCCTCCGGGAAAGCGTGGTAAGCGCGTAATGGCCTGAGAACTTTTTTTTTGGCAAAAATTTACAAATCGGGGAATTGAGAAGCTAGAACGCTGAAACCATAATATGATGTTCCCGGCTCAAGTAGGTGTTAATGCACTGATGCTCGTCCTCCGGGAAAGCGTGGTAAGCGCGTAATGGCCTGCCAAAGTTTTTTGGCAAAAGTCCAAACTCGAGGATCTGAGAAGCTAGGACGCTGAAAACGTAATATGATGTTCCCCGTCTAAGTAGGTGTTAATGCACTGATGCCCGTCCTCCGGGGAAGCGTGCACTATGCAAAAAATGCATCTTCGCACGGGCAGCCCGTGCGTTGGTCAATTATTTCGCATAAGATAAAGTTGCTCAGCGGATAAGGTCTTGCGTTGGTAGAGTAAAATTAGTCAGCAAATAAATTTTAGTTGCAAAGAACATAAATTTACTTCTCAAATAAAGAACAAATAGCGGCGCACAGGAGGTGTAATCAAGCTCAGTTTCTCGCTCATAACTCGCTTTTTCATTAGAATTCGAAACAAAACTTACCGGTGAGAAGGAAGCAGATTATTTCGAAGAGCATCGTTAGTATGAACAGAAAATTAGTAAGTGGACAAGGATACGAAATGTAGTTGCGCAGAAGTAACTTTTCCCGCAAATTCTGCCAAATGATCTCTGTTCCTTACAGCCCGAATGTATGCACCTATAATCCAAATCCAGATGCAGTTGGGTCCCGAATTTCATTCATTCACTTCAGTGTTCTTATCTATTAGGTCATAGTTTTGAGCGTCTAGTGTTTGACCAGTTCAGATCAAATGCATCCAAGTTCGAGTTTTAGACCATTTGCATCGAGGTCTCCACATAATCCAATGTTTTAACAAACCCAGATCACAGTCTTGAAAATTCGGAACGGAAGAGGTGTTTAAATAACCAAGTCAGAGTCACATTTTGGTCACTTTTCCTGAATTTTGTAATTATTCAAGTTTTGTATAAATATCTTAATCATAACTTCGTTCCCCTGCAAGCTGGACTTTCGCTTCACCTAGTTTTGGTTTAATAGCAGGCTTTCGCGGCACTTAGTTTTAATTTAATAACTCGCACCACAGATTCTGCATAAAAATAACCAGTACTACAATACAAATATCTGCACAATAATGACCAAACAAAGTCAAGTTAAATCTTCCCCAATATTTGTCCCTCCCAGCCTCAAGCCCAAAGACTCCAGCGAAGAAACTAAATGTGAATAACAGCCTGCAGGTATTAATGCATGAACACCAAAACCTCCTAGATAAAAACGGTGATTAGACCCCCTGTTGATTGTATTCCTGATAAATTCATATGCTATTATCCTAGGCCCTTCGATTTTGAATATCTTTAGTCGGGGATTATCACCTGCCTGGTGTATTCATAGCGCCAATTTGGAATATTTTTCCGATTCTGCTTAACTCGAAACAAGAAGCATGGCAAGATTGCAAGCAAACAGACTGAAATGGGAAAACTGATCGGAGTAGGAAAATCTGTCGAACAACTATATTCGTTTCCCTAACAGTCATTTCACTTAGATGAACTCGTGAAAGAACATTTAGCTGTACGCTATCGATGCTGTTTCATAACAGAGATTTCAACTGTTCAAACAGATCCTTTCGTTTTGAAGGCGATCTTTTACATATTCGTTCACCACTGCATGAGTACCATTTAATAAACTGTTTTGTCCATCTGCAAATCCTCATTCTTGGCACACTACTAGCCCAGCTGTTCTTTCTGTGTACATTTCTCCCTACACTGAAGCGAGAATATTAACTTCTGCTCGAAAGTGTGTCGCATCCTGCTGATGCCTATTTCATTTCTATCCGTTGCTGCCTAGGTAATATTAATCCTTTCATCACAGCAGCAGCAAATGCTGTTTCTTTATTTTGCTTATTTGTCTCGCAAATTAGTTGCATGACTATTCAAAACACGGCATGTGTAAGGCTGTACTGATGGTTCCCGTTTCTCCCTGCATGCATAGTTCGGTCTGTTTTTACAGCTAAAGGAAGAAACACAGACTGCGTTACAAAATGTCTTCCTACACATAACATTCAAATTCAATCCCTTTATTCTTTTATTTCATGTGGCCTTATTATTTATCTAAGTGATATTTTTTGTAAGGATTTTTTAAAAGAAAGGAACTCTTTTTACCGGCAATCGTTGTGAAACATGGCCACTTTGTAGCCAGTGACTGATAAACGAAGTTATGCCATGTTGCTGACCAATTGCCATACCTATACGGCCGGCCTTTTCGTCACAATTTTGCTTTTGTGCCAATCGGACATTGGTTTATTTCTTTCTTGTGGAAATCTTTAACTCACAGTCAAAACACTGAATATAACACACTAGACATTCCCAATAAACATGATAAATACAAACAAATTCGCAACGATGACGTAAACGAACAAAAGGAAAATAATCTTTTCTCCTCTTTGTGCTGAAAAGATACAGATTTACGACAGTGGAACAAAGCAGTGCGGTAAATTGAAGAACACAGAATTCAACCGACTAGCTTACTAAGCTTTACAAATGAATGGGGCTAAATTAGCACAAAAATCAACTGAAAGACTTTAAATCCATGCAACCACCGATTTAGTTTTACCTATCATTCAGTCAAAAATTTGTGGTGGTACCAAGAACCGCGAAAAGTATTTTTTTGGTTAATTAATGCCAAATCAGAAATTTGCTTTTTTACCGTGTCCAGGCCGTGCCATTGTTTTGCGCGAATTTTGGTAGAAGCAAACTAAATGCAGCAACAAATAAAAGAAAAATTTTTTACAGGAATTGATACAAATCGCAGAATTTTACAAGATAAAGCAGTTCACTGCGGTATTCTATTGAAATTGATCCACAAAAAACTGATGACTCGACATAACTTTAGAACTTCTTCCAAGCAAAAAAATCCTAGGTCCACAAAAAATCCCGGAAAATCAAAAAAAATTAGAAATTCTGCAGAAAGTTTTTTTTTTTTACATATATTAGACAACAATTTAAATTGTAACACCAAGCTGCAGACAGAAATTTGATCTTTTTCTTTCACTAGAAAAATGTTTTTATGGATTTTCACCGAACTATTTGGCAGGTTTTTTTTAAAATTTTTCCTCAAAAAAGCAAATAGTCACTCACCTATTAGGCTTCAACAATAATAATATATTTAAAAAAAAGACATAACTCAGTTTTTCCGTAAACCTTTTCCAGTGGCAGCGCTCGGCAAGTAGGAACATCTCAGTAACATGACTGACATGAAATACCTGTACTCACATATTCTCTTCTGTTTCATTACGATTTTCACTCACATATGAATGACGAGTAAAATCATCAAGATTGAGAATGACATAGAGCATCGGCATCAGCACACAAAAGTAATAATTATGCGCCAAAAATCGGATTTTATCCCAAAATAGTACAGAAGAAATCGCAAAATTTAAATATAAACTAACATTTGGAAACAAATGAAGTTGGAAGACAACAAAGTCGATTTTTTAAAAAACATTGTACACGAATATTTCGGTATAGGCAATTTCATTTCAGGTTTAATTCATTTTAGTTTAAACTATGCCCAAACCAAAACCCGCCCCGTCTCGTATCAACTCATCCTAGATTGCATTTAAATTAGGAAATTTAACTTTTTAGCTTATTCCATTTGATCAAAATAAATTCACCACAGGATTCCTTAGCTTCTTTCAGTCGAATTTAAAATCAATTTGATCAAACCGAATTTTAAAAAAATATTCATAACTATGAATTCAATTAAAACTTTGATGTATTAATTTCTTAAATTTCTTAAATTAATTTCTTAAATTGTCTTAATTTCCATCTCAGTAGCTAAATCAATGTTATTTTAGTTCAATCAATTTGATTGGGAATAAATTCGGTATGAAATTTTCCAACTTGATTTAATTCAAAGTCAGGTTCTCTCAAAAGGATCCAGAATTCAACTTCTCAGTTTCAGGAGAAGATTCAACCCAAATTTTAAAATTTTTCGAAAACCTATGTTTTCCAAAAAAAAAAAAAAACCACAAAGAACTGAACAATGAATGTACAATACAGTTGCATACAGCTTGAAAGCAACTAGAAATTTATAAAGCATGTTGGCTTTAGATATCCTTTTCAGATCAGGATGCAATACGATCTGGAGCGATATCAAGTTCACGAACAATTCACACGGATTACGTGTATGCCACGCAAGCCCGTGTACCGCTCCTGCTAGGTGTTACTTTCACGTGTAATCACTGACGATGCACCACTTCGATTGGGCTGATATTTGTCGAAGAATGCGCTTCGCGATGGTTTCAGCAGCACCGTTGAGATAAGTGAAACGAAAAATGACTCAACAACGATCACCAAATTTTTCCAAACTACAAAACAGCGGTACGTTAGGGTTTTATTAAACGCAACCTTCAAAGCCAAGGCCTCCTCCCTTCCGGCACTGGCTCTGTACAGGAGATGGGAAATGACTGGAGTGGTGACAAATGCTAAGAACAACCGCTAGCTGGCGAATCTGTCGATATAGAGTTCCTCAGAAGCAGGCTGACGGCAGATTACCTTGGCATATGATAGTACCAATTTACGTCCAAACGAAGAATGAATCGCAGAGAAATTGGCTGGTGCACTGAAGGAGTTAAACCCTCGGACAGCAGGAAAATCGACAACGCGAATATTTTGTAGACGTCCGGATCCTCAGTGTTATCAATGAAATGTCTCTCATTTCATAAGAACGATCTCTTTAAAAATTAAAAAGAAGAAAACATACAGAATGCGGTTTCAAGCGAAGGTAGTACGGTGCCGCAGCCGAATACACCAGCCCGAGCTAGAAAATCAAAAATTGGTTGTTGGATGCCAAAAAACATGAAATAGAAATCCAGTAATCGGAAGACCACTATGTATCTGTAAGGCATCAGTTCATCCTGAAAGCAGCAGTTGATTGCAATAACTTATCAAACTTCCTAGTAAAACTTGATATATCTTATTGAGAGACTTGGCAAAGCGGATTATTAAATGGTATTCATGCAGTGTTAAAAGAACACAGGGAGGGCCACCCATGCGGTAAAAGAATTCGTTCGATTAATTATATAATATTATGAGAATGAGAGAAGCCCAAAACAGAGAAGAATGGAGAAGTTGGCAGCTGCATTAACAGAGAGGAATAAAGCGGCGATGAAACAACAGCGAGTTCAGATAACCAAGTATCTGATCAAACGCTCTATAAGTGGCTTACAGAATGTTTTTTTAAAGGTTGAGGTAAAATGAAATCCCTGGGCCAAAATACGTGGTTTGCGTTGCTCATAACCATGGGAGGCATAGCACATCAGCAAGTGGCACCTGCGAAACATCAAACTACCACCATGACTATCTTTTAGATGATGACGCTCGTGAGGAATGAATACAAGTGGTGGTACCCAAAAGTTGGCGTGATTAAAAAAAATAGGTCAAAAGTGTTTTCCGCCTTAAAGGATAAGAATCAGGAGTGAAGTTATTACCCTCTTTCGTTTCTTTGGTTGCAGTTGCGTACTGGGTTACGACACGCCGAAGGTATTTGTAACGAAGTGGCTATTTCAGGAACTGAACAAGTTAGTAAGTTGAAATTTTACAGTGATGTGTTTGCTGTAGGAAGGACGGAGACATTCCAAGTGGTAGCAACTGCCAACAGCAAAGGAGTAATAGCAACTACCAACAGCAACAACTCGCTGGTTAGGCTATCGCTAGCTCACTCGTTCGAAAGTCGTTTAAAAACAGGCCTTTGGCAGACCTAATTCCCTGGCAAATGCCAATATCAATTTACTATGGAAACTAATGAACGAATCTTTAAATTCGCAGCCCGAGATATCCTACTGAATTATTTAAAAAAAAAAGGTATTATGAAACTTACTAGTACTGAAACAGTTGTTACAAGTATATGTGTCCCATAAATTCCGATGAGCAACGAAGGGAGTGTTATAAAATCCAGAATTTTCAAGGCACTGAAAATTAAGATTTTTTACAGGAAGAAAAAAGTTGTTTTTTTTAAAACATAGCACGACTCTCATTTCAATCAAACCGCGTTATTGGAAATCAAAATTGTATTCAAAAAAGAATCAGTTAAGATAAATAATAAAGAAGATTTTCAAGAAAACCAGCTTCCGGCATCCCCAGTCGGTAAGAAAAGAGTTATAACACCAATGACAATTTGAAGCAGCTAAACATTTGCCGTTGATCTTTTTTCACTGGAAAAAAATAGCTGTTTGAAAAAAAACTTACATGAAAGCACCGTCGCGATATTCGAAATAAAGCACCAGACTAAAAATCGTAAAAATAAGCCTGATGCATGGTGTTTGAAAAACCATTAATTCACAAAAACGAATCCGACGCCTGCAAATCAGAATCTGAGAATCAATAACAGTTGCATTGAAAACTAATAGCAAGTTCAGTTCGAGTAGAAAAAGAATTTAGGATTAAAACAGCCCTAGGAACATTAGATCAGATCATTAGTCCAGATAATCATTATTTCTTGCAAATAATACAAAAAAGTGCTTACTGTTCAAGTTCGAATTTTGGAAGACACGGAAAGACGCAACAGAATGGTGGTGTTTGTACACTAATTGCTGGGCAACCGACTTTCATTTTCTTCACCATTTTTTGTCGCCCTTCGAAAATATTCATCAATAGACATATGATCACCCACAATGCTATTGAAAAATATCTAAAAAATGCTCTTTATTCATGCGATAGTCACATAATGAGGCACATAAGTGTACATTTGTGACTTTGCGTTAGCTACTTTGGGTTTGCTGCTTTACCAGTCGCTAGCCAGACTGACTGATTCGTACCACCCAAGCTCAGCCGGACAAAATGCCACTCAATGTCTTCTCAACATGCTTTGTGCTACCGGGATTTGTATCCATCGTATTTTGACAACTTATTTCGTTATCGCTCTCAAATCGCTACGAAACGCTTGGGTCGAAATTTTTTGGGAGCCAAAGAAATAATTGGAGTAAATCAGAGGTACTAAGATGACAAAGAAAGGCTTCAACCAAAAAAAGAGCTCTGGATGAGAAATCCGGATTTACAGATTTCGAAACCCATTATAAGTTTTGAAAATCCGAGAAAAACCAAATCGTTAATTTTCCTTAATTTCAAAACATACTCTGTTAGCTCGAAGAAAACATCTTCAACAGCAGCAATCACCCATTGTAGCGTGGCTAAAGTGATGGTTCCGAATTCTTAAGAAACGATACAATGCCAGTACTAATTTGTCGAAGAAATCACAAATTCCTTAGAAACTAGTTTTTTTCCCAAATTGGACATAAACTAGTATCAGAATGCTCAGTTTAACTTTGATTTCGAATCAATACCATGGTACCATTGCACCAGTTTGTCCGCTTAGAATATAACTGTTTTCAATATATATTTACATTAGGATACTTTAAACATTTTTTAATTTACAGTCTGGTTCCTCAGCTATCCAGCTATGGATTTTCCACTTGTCTTGTCCAGTGGGGTTTTTGGTATACACTGAAACTAAGATGCTTCATCAGTTCCGAAGCCTGTTTGGTTTCTTTGGCAAATTCAAAAAACTACCTTTAAAATTAGTTATCAAATTAGGAAGAAACTTACAGAAACCCAAGCAGATGAGCGAGAAACCAAACCCGTGGCATATACATTGCAACTAAGGATAGTGCTGAGACGAACTGAAAAAACAATTTTTATTTGATTTTTCTCGAAAGTTATTTACTGCTAACTGTTCTCCGTATTTTCAGCTCTTTTTTGCCATGATTATCAAAACTGCTCTGGCAGTCGGTGCGGGTATTCGATGTTGGTGATGTTGTTGTGATGCTTTCACATGCCTGATATAGTTATTTCAAGTCCTTTGGTGCTGAGCTGCAATTCCAATTAGCACGTGTAGTATCTGTTATCACTGAGCTGGTAATCCTTTCAAGAGACGAAACGAACGTCAGGATCGTCAACGGGCTAACCGTTCAGTAATGCAGCATTGGTCAAAGCACATGGGAAAGTTGCCAACTGCATAGCTGGAGGACGATACTGTGAACTGCAGCTGACCAAAGTAATGCGAATTTAGCTATCCCATAGAATCTGTGAAATTTAATGAAAACAGAGCAGCTTACCGGTGCTGTGCCAGCTAAATAAACGATGAAAGCCCGCCGAAATCGTTGCGTCACATAATATGATACATAGACTATGTGCAAGATGCCAAGGCATACCGTTGCTACCGAGATGACAGTTCCGGCGAATAATGCAGCAGTAAATGTCAATCCAATCTCTAAAATTTTCGAACATTGAAAGAATGCAAATGGAGTTCCTATACATCTAGCATTTTTTAGGAAACTAAGAAGTAGCGAACAAGAATCCAGGACCACTCCTAGAACGCTGTTTTGGTCACAACAGCCAAACGAGGGCTACCAGCTGTCCACACAAAATTTCCTGCTAATACAAA